CTGCTGGCCTGCTGCTCATCTCTGGACCTCTTCCTGAAGTACTCCTCCTTCTGGGGGTCGCTGAACCCTCTGACCTCCGTCATCTTGTCCACACAGTCAGGAGGGATCTGATTGGCTGCTGCAGGTCGTGTGGTTATCCAGAGGCGAGCAGAAGGAAGCAGATTCCCCCTCATCAGGTTTGTCAGCAGAAGGTCCAGTGAGGTGGACTCTGTCACATCAGTCAGGACCTCGTTGTTGTGGAAGTCCAGAGGAAGGCGACACTCGTCCAGACCGTCTAAGATGAACACAACCTGGAAGCGTTGAAAGCTGCACATTCCTGCTGCTTTGGTTTCTCTGAAGAAGTGATGAACAAGTTCCACCAAACTGAACTTTCTCTCTTTCAGCACATTCAGCTCTCTGAAGGTCAGTGGAAACAGGAAGTGGATGTCCTGGTTGGTTCTGTCTTCAGCCCAGTCCAGAGTGAACTTCTGTGTTAACACTGTTTTCCCGATGCCAGCCACTCCCTTTGTCATCACTGTTCTGGTTGCTTCATCACCTCCTGCTGAGCCTCTGAAGATGTCTTCTGGTTTGATGCTTGTTTCTGCTCTGGCTGCTCTCCTGGATGCTGCTTCAATCTGTCTGACCTCATGTTCCTCATTGACCTCTGCAGTCCGTCCCTCTGTGATGTACAGCTCTGTGTAGACCTCATCCAGGAGGGTTTGTCCTCAAACATCAACTGGAACTTCTCCTTCAGAGCAGACTTCAGGTTGTCTCGACACTCAGTGAGAATCTCTGAATGAAAAACAAATGACACCAGTGAGAAGATTCTGTACAACAATGAATGAGACATTTTCTGATCTCAGTGGTTCCTGTTCAGACCATGGGACTGTCCCGTCCTGACTGGGTAGAAGGTTTCATGGACCAATCATCCACTGATATTCAACAGCAACCAGAATGTTGCCACAAGGAGGTCAGGAAAGCAGGAGGAGGATCCAAACAATCCCTGAGACCAGACAGAAACAGCTTTCCAGTGTTTTACTGGCAGTACGGCAGGTGGGCAGGTAGACCAGCAACCAGAACCAGAGAGTCCAGAAACAGCCAAGCGGTCAGAACAGGAAGTCACAGAACAGGTGAGACCAACCAAGGCTGGTGAAGAGTTTACAGGAGGAATGAGGAGAGAGGAACAGGTGAGCTGGTTGGGATGCTGGGAGCAGGTGAGGTGGGTGTGGCAGAGAGGACTGAACACCTGAGGACACCTGGAGGGTGGACCAGGTGAAGCATGGAAGACCAACATGTCCGGTGCTGTGTGTCCACTCTGTAAGTCTGTCTGTGGGAGGTCTGCTGTGAACCTCCTCCACAGCTCTGGCTGTTTCCTCGTCACTGTTCCCTGATTGGGTTTGTGGCTGCCTGCTGCTGAAACTCTGCAGGGATGGAGCTGCACCCGTCACAGCTCTGGACCGCGGTCTGGGAGACTTTGTGCTGTTTAAATCCAGAGCGTGGATGCTCCGACAGCAGCAGCTCTGTTCCAGACACACTTTGGCTGCAGTCTGTGTCGTAAATGTTGCTGTTGGATCACATCTCAGTGGTTCCAGGCTTCACAGAACTGACGGTGCTGCTGGGAGGGACAGCGTGACCACGGGCCTCCAGAGACTCAGTTTAGAGGAGGGACACAATAACCCAGGTTGTTTTCTGAGGCTACACTTTACTGATGTTCCCTAAATGCCTCACATGCATCAGCAGCTGTGCACAGAGAAGCTTCTAGTCTCCACTCAGACGTGTGAGACCAAACATGAGCTTGAACAGAGTGAAACAAGGCGTTCTGAGTCCGGTTTACCTGAAACTGAGTGACTTTATCTCCCTGGACAGACACAGACAGACCTGCTGAGCGTCAGGAGCACCGCTGACCAACGAAAATGTTGAGTCACACCGGACAGCGTTCAGTTTGCTCGCTGGAGGACGGACGGTTGCTGTGAATCTGTTGGTTTTAAAGATCTGGCTTCGTCTGGTAGGACATGGAGGACTGAACCTTCCTGTGTCTGTAGTTACAGAAAACAGCAGCCACAAGGTCTTGGCTGTTTTCTTTGATCTAAGTTTGTGTTACATCAGCTGTCTCTGGTTGTTTTCTACAGTTGTCCACAGCACTCTGTCCTGATAGAGACTCTGTGGATCCTCAGAGGAAACGAACTCAGAGCTCACAGCTACGAACGCTTCGGTCTGTGGACTCAACACTCACTAAAACTCTGATTCTCAGTCACTGCAGGACACCAGCTGCACTGTGTTTATGGACAAAGTGTGTTTGGGAAAACTCTGGCAGCTTTCCTGCACTTTCTGAACTGACTGTGACTTTACTGCTATCATGTGCACATCGTTCCCTCTGCTGTTGTTGGGCTCCAGGCTCCAGTCTCTGGGAGATGATGAGCACCACTATGCTTTGTGGAACATCATCTCCTGCCAGCTGCTGCTGATCTCTGTGTGGATTATTGGTCCTGATGGTCAGTAACGTGTCTCCTGTGTGTGGAGACGGTCAGAACTTGATCAGAACACGTCGGCACGTTCTCTCCAGTGATCCCTACGTGGGTCACATGTTTAGTTCTCCCCAAAGCGCTGACAGATTCAGTCCAACCTGGTTTTACAGGTGACACTACATGCTATCTGTGGATCTCCTTGGTCCTGTGGATGCTTGTGCCTCATCTCTCATGTTCACTCATCAGTCTGACGTCTGTGTGTTGTCCTCCATATCTCTGCTACGTCTCATTCATCATCTTTCTCTGACTTATCTTCAGGTTCTTTGATGGTTTTTGGGATGTTCTGCACCAGGTCGTTTCTGGGAATCTTCTCCAAACCCTTTGCAGCGACTCTCATGGTGTAGATGCAGCAGCTCTTAAACATCTCATCCACTGTGTCCGTCCTGTCTGCCTTCTCCAGTCGACTCTTTGGGATTGCCTTGAAGGGTTTTAGGATCTCCTGATTCAAGAACCACTTGAATGTTTTGAACTCCTCTTCTGCTAAATCCTCCAAAATCTGATGAAGGACTTCTCGAGGTGTTTCTTCTCTGTAAAGATCAAAGACGAACAGTAAGAAGAGTCCCGTAGAAACCACTGAGCATGACTGAAGCAGCAGCTGGAACTGGTTCATTCTTTCGACCAACAACAGATCAGCAGGATTCCTGCTTCTATAATCACAGACAGTTTGAACCTGTGAGCTGCTTTACAATCCACTGAATCAGGAAACTGACAAAGTAAATCGTTCTTTCAGTCCTTCACTGGTTTTATTTTAGACGTCTCAGAATCAAGCGGAGGAATCGAGCTGAAAGTGAAGCGACCATCAGATCTGTCTGAGCTCAGAGCTGTAGAAGAAGCTTTAACTGTGACTCTGATCAGGAGAAAGAGGAATCCTGGAGGAGTGAGACGTCGCTGTTTATCAGCTCTCTGACACAAAGTAGGAATTAAGATGACGGGAAGTTTTCTGACAGTTTGAAAAGTTCAAACTGTGAAATGAATAAATGCTGCATATAAAAGACAGATGAAGCACCAGCTCAGACTGATCCTGTGGTTTAGTTTCTTCTGCAGTAATTAAAGGTAAAAACTCAGAGAACGTTTTACATGGACGTTAACACGTCACATTCTTGATCTGACACCGTTTCAGACACATTGGTGCTGCTGCTAACTGACAGGTCTCAGACTGTGATGATCAATAGCATCCTCTCAGCTCATAGCACATGGAAATAATCCACTTCTATGTAGTTCATTAAAACCTCAGTGGCCTGATGGAAGCAAACTGTCATTGAAAGGGTTAAAATCCTGGACATGAATGAACGTTTGGTATTTATGATCAGGACTGATGCTGATCAATAATCTCACTCAGTCAAAGTGGACGATAATATTCATATATGACAGATTTATGGCAGCTGCTGTCCTTCAGGTCCTCTGTGCAACATATGAACTCTGATCAATGAGGCTGATCAATGAGGCTGATCAATGAGGCCGATCAATGAGGCTGATCAATGAGGCTGATCAATGAGGCTGATCAATGAGGCTGATCAATGAGGCTGATCACTGAGGCTGATCAATGAGGCTGATCAA